CCATGTTGGACAGTTTAAATTTCAAATAGTTTTTCCATCCAATTGACACTTGACAACAATGTAAATGTCAAGCAACGTGTCAAAAATTAGTGTACAAATAGCAAAGTTCAATCGGTAAGGACCATGCTACATCTACACTATGTTGTACACTTTAGTTTACACTTTGCCCCATGACATTACCCTATTGAACAGCTAAAATTCTAAATAGTTTTCCCATCCAATTGACACTTGACAACAATGCAAGTGTCAAATGACGTTTCAAAAATCAGTGTACAAATCGGAAAGTTCAATCAGTAAGAACCTTGCTTCATGTACACTATGGTGTACACTTGAGTTTACACTTTGCCACATGACTTATCCCTGTTGGACAGTTTAAATATCAAACTATTTTCCCATCCAATTGACACTTGACAACAATGCAAGTGTCAAACAACCTGTCGAAAATCAGTGTACAAGTAGCTAAGTTCAATCAATAAGGACCGTGCTACATGTACACTATGGTGTACACTTTAGTTTACACTTTGCCACGTGACATTGCCCTATTGGACAATTTAAATTTCAATAAGTTTTCCCATCCAATTGACACTTGACAACAATGCAAGTGTCAAATAAGGTGTCGAAAATCAGTGTACGAGTAGTCAAGTTCAATTGGTAAGGACTGTGCTACATGTACAATATAGTGTACACTTTAGTTTACACATTGCCACGTGACATTACCCTGTTGGATAGTTTAAATTTCAAATTATTTTTCCATCTAGTTGACACTTGACAACAATGCAAGTGTCAAACAACCTGTCGAAAATCAGTGTACAAGTAGCTAAGTTCAATCAATAAGGACCGTGCTACATGTACACTATGGTGTACACTTTAGTTTACACTTTACCACGTGACATTACCCTGTTGGATAGTTTAAATTTTAAACACTTTTTCCATCCAATTGACACTAGACAACAATGTAAGTGTCAAACAATATGTCAAAAATCAGTGTACAAAAAGAAAGGTTCAATCGGCAAGAACCTTACGACATGTACAGTATAGTGTACACTTTAGTTTACACTTTACCACGTGACATTACCCTGTTGGATAGTTTAAATTTTAAACACTTTTTCCATCCAATTGACACTAGACAACAATGTAAGTGTCAAACAATATGTCAAAAATCAGTGTACAAAAAGAAAGGTTCAATCGGCAAGAACCTTACGACATGTACAGTATAGTGTACACTTTAGTTTACACTTTGCCATGTGACATTACCCTGTTGGATAGTTTAAATTTTAAACACTTTTTCCATCCAATTGACACTAGACAACAATGTAAGTGTCAAACAATATGTCAAAAATCAGTGTACAAATCGCAAAGTTCAATCGGTAAGGACCATGCTACATGTACAATATGGTGTACACTTTAGTTTACACTTTACCACATGACATTACCCGGTTGGACAGTTTAAATTTCAAATACTTTTCCCATCCAACTGACACTTGAAATCAATACAAGTGCCAAACAACATGTCAAAAATTAGTATACAAATAGCAAAGTTCAATCGGTATGGACCTTGCTACATGTACACTATGGTGTATACTTTAGTTTACACATTGCCACGTGACATTTTCCTGTCGAAAAGTTTAAATTTCGAACAGTTTTTCCATTCAATTGACACTTGACTACAATGCAAGTGTCAAACAAAGTGTCAAAAATTAGTGTACAAATAGCAATGTTTAGTCAGTAAGAACCTTGCTACATGTGCACTATGGTGTACACTTTAGTTTACACTTTATTACGTGACATTACCCTATTGGATAGTATAAATTTCAAACAATTTTTCCATCCAATTGACACTTAGCATTAGTGCAAGTGTCAAATAACGTGTCAAAAATTAGTGTACAAATTGTAAAGTACAGTCGGTAAGAACCTTGCTTCATGTACACTTTACTTTACACTTTACCATGTGACATTACCCTGATGCACAGTTTAAATTTCAAACACTTTTTCCATCCAATTGACACTTGAAAACAATGAAAGTGTCAAACAACGTGTCAAAAATAATCATACAAATAGCAAAGTTCAGTCGATAAGAAACTTGCTACATGTACACTATGGTGTACACTTTAGTTTACACTTTGCCACGTGACATTACCCTATTGGACAGTAAAAATTTCAGACATTTTTCCCATCCAATTGAGACTTAACAACAATGCAAGAGTCAAACAATGTGTTAAAAATCAATGTATAAATAGCAATGTTCAATCAGTAAGAACTTTAGTACGTGTACACTATGGTGTAACCTCTACTTTACACTTTCCCACGTGACATTACCCTATTGGACAGTTTAAATTTCAAACAATTTTCCCATCCAATTGACACTTGACAGCAATGCACGTGTCAAAAATCAGTATACAAAAAGCAAAGTTCAATCGGCAAGAACCTTGCGACATGTACAGTATAGTGTACACTTTAGTTTACACTTTGCCACGTGACATTACCCTGTTGGACAGTTTAAATTTTAAACACTTTTTCCATCCAATTGACACTTGACAACAATTCAAGTGTCAAACAACGTGTTCAAAATCAGTGTACAAATAGCAAAGTTCAATCAGTAAGATCCTTGCTACATGCATAATATGCAGTACACTTTAGTTTACACTTTGCCACTTGACATTACCTCGTTGGACAGTTTAAATTTCAAACAGTTTTCCCTTTCGATTGACACTTGCCAACAATGCAAGTGTTAAACAACATGTCAAAAATTAGTGCACAAATAGCAAAGTGCAATCGGTAAGAACCTTGCCACATGTGCACTATGGTGTACACTTTAGTTTACACTTTGCCATGTGACGTTATCCTATTAGATAGTTTAAATTTCAAACAGTTTTCCTACCCAATAGACACTCAACAACAATGTAAGTGTCAAACAACGTGTCAAAAATCAATGTACAATTAGTTAAGTTCATTCGGTAAGAACCTTGCATCATGTACACTATGGTGTACACTTTGGTTTACACTTTGTCGCGTGACATTACCCAGTTGGACAATTTAAGTTTCAAACAATTTTCCCTTATAATTGACACTTGACAACAACGCAAGTGTCAAACAACGTGTCAAAAATTAATGTACAAATAGCAAATTTCAATCGGTAAGAACCTTGCTACATGTACATTATGGTGTACACACTTTAATTTACACTTTGCCATGTGACATTACCCTGTTGGACTATTTGAATTTCAAACAATTTTCCCATGCAACTGACACTAGACAACAATGTAAGTGTCAAACAACGTGTCAAAAATTAGTGTACAAATTACAAAGTTCAATCGGTAAGAACCTCGCTACATGTACACTATGGTGTACACTTTAGTTTACACTTTGCCATGTAACATTACCCTGTTGGACAGTTTAAATTTCAAATAGTTTTTCCATCCAATTAACACTCGACAACATGCAAGTGTCGAAGAACGTATCAAAAATCAGCATATAAACAGCAAAGTTCAATCGATAAGAAACTTCTACATGTACACTGTGGTGTACACTTTGCCACGTGACATTACCCCATTTGACATTTTGAATTTCAAACAATTTTCCCAACCAATTGACACTTGACAACAATACAAGTATCAAACAACGTGTCACAAATTATTGTACAAATAGCAAAGTTCAATCCATAAGAACCTTGCTACATGAACACTATGCTGCACACTTTAGTTTACACTTTGCCACATGGCATTACCTTGTTGGACAGTTTGAATTTCAAATAATTTTCCCATCCAATTGATACTAGACAACAATGCAAGTGTCAAACAACGTGTCAAAAATCAGTGTACAAATAGTAAAGTTCAATCAGTAAGGACCGTGGTACATGTACACTATTGTGTACACTTTAGTTTACACTTTCCCACGTGACATTATCCTGTTTGATAGTTTAAATTTCAAACACTTTTCCCGTCTTATTGACATTTGGCAATAATGCATGTGTCAAACAACTTGTCAAAAATCAATGTGCAAATAACCACGAAGAAAGAACTTTTCCCACAAGGAATTACCCTTGATAACTTCGATTTATTGTTCAATTTGGAAGAACAAAGAAGAAAGCAATAATCTCTCAATATAATGTTGAAAGATTTTTTACAATAGAAAATACTAGTCCTATTTTTACTAAAGCCTAAAATATCGTAAAAGGAATAAAATCCCGTGCAAAAATCAAGAAGAATTATAAAAAGATTACAATTCTAATCGAATTAGAAAACTCACAAAAAATTGTAATTCGATCCTCGACTTTATTCTATGTGGTCGCATAGGGTTAACCTAAGTGGTTGCATAGTTCATTTAATTTCCCCCCTAGAATTCCCTGCTGGTATACATGTGACCGCATGGGGATTATAACTACGCGGTCGCATAGTTCACATTGCTGCTTCCAACTCCCATTGCTCGTATCGTATTGATCCAAGTCTCTTCGACCTTCGACCCCAACATGACACTAGCTCCATTTTGCGTCCCAAACATGGTGTCATCATTAGTGGCTTTAATGAGCAATCCCATTCCTCTTTAACTCATTTCGCTCTTAATCGCATCATCGAGCCTTCTTCAATAATCAACGGGTCTTGGCTCGGCCTTCCCTTCGTGACTCCCGCATCTTGGATCATATCAGCCCCTTCCTTTACAAGAGGATTCATCCTTGAATCTACACCTGCATCAAAGAGAGATAGATTAGCAACGTTGAATGTAGCTGAAATATTATACTCACCTAGAAGATCCACTTTGTATGCATTATCATTTATCTTTTCAATGACTTGGAATGGACCATCTCCTCGTGGCTGCAATTTTAACTTTCTCTGCTCGAGAAAATGCTCCTTTTTGAAATATACCCAGACCCAATCATCTGGTTCAAATGTCATGAGCTTTCTTCCTTTGTTTACCCTCGATGCAACTAGCTTACTCTTTTCTTCAATTTGCATCCGAACTTTTTCGTGGAGTGATTTTACCAACTCAGCTTTCCTCTTACCCTCCTAGCTACCTCGTTCATTCATAGGTAAAGGTAACAAATCCAAAGGAGTTAATCGATTAAATCCATACACAAATTCAAATGGTGAATAAGAAGTAGCTGAATGCATAGCATGGTTATAAGCAAACTCAGTAAATGGCAAGCAATCTTCCCAACTTTTTAAGTTCTTATTAATCACTGTTCGAAGTAATTGAGTCATGATCCTATTTACTACTTTAGTTTGACCATCTGTTTGTGGATGACAAGTTGTAGAAAATAATAATTGAGTTCCTAACTTATTCCACAAAACACGCCAGAAATGACTCAAAATTTTGACATCTCAATCTGACACAATACTCTTAGGGACTCCGTGCAAACGTACTATCTCCCTAGAGAATAAATTAGCAATGTTAGTGGTCATCGGTATGAAATGTGCCATTTTACTAAACCTATCAACTACTACAAAGATAGAATCTCGACCTTTCTTTGTCCTAGGTAACCCCAACACAAAATCCGTAGAAATATCCACCCAATGTTCACTAGGCATAGGTAAAGGTGTGTACAAGCCATGGGGTAAAACCTTTGATTTAGCCTGTTTACAAGTTATACACTTCTCACAACTCTGTTCTACGTCACTACGCATTTTAGGCTAGTAAAAGTGTTCCCCTAACATGTCTAAAGTCTTTTGAATTCCAAAATGACCCATTAGACCCCCACCGTGTGCTTTCCTTACCAATAATTCACGCATTGAACAATTTGGAATGCACAACCTATCTTTCCTAAACAAATATCCTTCATGTCTATAAAATTTATCACAGCCATTTTAGCACATGAATTAAAAATATTTGAGAAATCAATGTCATTTTCATACATGCTCTTGATATGTTAAAAACCAAGTAATTTCACACTTAGAGAGTTAAGAAGCATGTGCCTTCGTGACAATGCATCTGCAACTACATTTTCATTACCTTGCTTATACCTGATAACGTACGGAAACGTCTCTATGAACTCCATCCACCTCGCATGTCTCTTGTTCAACTTACCTTGACCTTGCAAGTGCTTTAGGGACTCATGATCAGTGTGGATCACGAATTCCTTAGGCCATAAGGAATGCTGCCAAGTCTCTAATGCTCGAACAAGGGAATACAGCTCCTTGTCATACGTTAGGTAGTTTAGCGTAGCTCCACTCAACTTCTTGCTAAAGTAAGCAATAGGTATCTTTTCCTGCATTAACACTGCTCCAATACCTATCCCTGATGCATCACACTCAATCTCGAACGTTTTATCAAAGTTAGGTAATGATAAAACAGATGCTTTACACAATTTATCCTTAATGGTGTTAAATGCATGTTTTTGTGCTTCACCCCAGTGAAAACCCATGATTTTCTTAACGATTTCAGTTAATGGTGTAGTGATCATGCTAAAGTCTCTCACGAACCGCCTATAAAAGCTAGCCAGACCATGGAAGCTCCTAACCTCAATTATACTTTTAGGTGTTGGCCATTCTTTAATAGCTTTAATCTTTTCCTCATCCACTTCTACCCCATTAGCACTAACAACAAATCCTAGGAAAACAACTATATCCATGCAAAACGTTCACTTTTTTAAATTAGCATACAATTGTTCCTTTCTTAACACAACAAGCATACAATTGTTCCTTTCTTAACACAACAAGCATACAATTGTTCCTTTCTTAACACAACAAGCATACAATTGTTCCTTTCTTAACACAACAAGCATACAATTGTTCCTTTCTTAACACAACAAGCATACAATTGTTCCTTTCTTAACACAACAAGCAGGCTCTTTAAATGTCCTAAATGCTCACCTAGGTTTTTGCTATAGATTAAAATGTCATCAAAGTAAACTACAACAAATTTTCCTATGAAAAGCATGTAAAACATGATTCATTAAATGCATAAATGTGCTCGGTGAATTTGTGAGACCAAACAGCATAACCAACCACTCATATAACCCATATTTAGTTTTAAATGCTGTTTTCCATTCATCACGCTCCCGTATGCAAATTTGATGGTACACGCTTTTAAGATCAATTTTACTAAAAATGCAAGCACCATGCAGTTCATCAAGCATATCATCTAGCCTAGGAATAGGGTGACGATACTTTACTGTAATGTTGTTGATAGCTCTGCAGTCCATGCACATTCGCCAAGTTCCATCCTTCTTTGGCAGTAATAGAACAGGCACAGTACATGGGCTCAAGCTCTCCCTCATGTAACCTTTGCTCATCAACTCTTCCACTTGTCTCTGAAACTCCTTCGTCTCCTCGGGATTGCTTCGGTAAGCTGGTCAGTTTGGGATGACAGCCTTAGGTATGAAGTCAATTTGGTGCTCAATCCCTTGAACTAGTGGCAACCCACTTGGCATCTCCTCCAGAAACACATCTTCCAAATCCTATAATAAAGACATAACCACGCTAGGGAGGGGGTGATAGACTCCTCAAGGTGAAGGAGAGACTCCTTATATACCAACAACAACACTTGTCTTTTATCACTAAAATCCCTTTTTAATTCACTTACCCTTACAAAGAATTCGCCTTTGGCTTTTCTCTTCACTCAACTGACTATTTTTCTCTCTACTCAACTGATTCTTTTTCTCTCCTCTCACGTGGCCTCTCTCTCTTTTCCCCTTTTTCGACCACCTCACTATCTTCTCTCTTATTCACAAGCTCACTATCTTCTCTCCTTTTTGTAAAGTCTCTCACTCGCCTTTCTTCCTCATTTCTTAGTTTTATTTGGTCTTCATACACATAAGCCAGTGTTAATGGCGCAAGAGTAATGGACCTCTCATCCTTGACAAATCTATATCGGTTCCTATACCCATCATGTGTAACCTTCCTATCAAATTGCCAGGGTCTCCCCAATAGAATATGACTCGCTTGCATGGGCACCAGATCACATACAACCTTGTCACTATAGCTCCCAATCGAGAAATTAATTAACACCCACTTATTTACCCTAACTTCCCCACTCTCATTCAACCACTGCAATTTATAAGTCCTAGGGTGTCTCAATAATGCTAAAACCTAATTTCTCAACTAAAGTTGTGCTAGCCACATTTGTGCAACTTCCACCATCAATAATCAAGCTACATACCTAATCGTGGACGTGGCAACGAGTGTGGAATATGTTCTCCCGCTGTTGCTCCGAATCATCTATCTTGATTTGAGTGTTAAATGCTCGCCTCGAGACCAGCAGTTCCCCAATGGCAAATTCCGTCTCATCTTCACCACCAATATCCTCCTATGATGGCATGTCATCGTACTCTCCTTTGCTCTCACTTAGCACTTCCCTATTGTCCCGCAACACCATGGTTCATTTGTTAGGACACTGAGAAGCAATGTGTCCCGACCCTAAACACCTGAAAAGTTGATGTCTCGATTTCGTGATGGTTGTGGCTCCGATTTTGGTGTTGTCCTATTAGCACTTTCTTTTTTCCGCTTCTGCCATCATTTATTCCTTTGGTTACTGCTTCACTCTCCTTCTTATTACCATCCCACTTTGACTTCCAATTTAGGTTAGAAGACAAAGTATTCACCGGCTGCCTTGTAGTCCCCTTCCTCTTCAGTTGTTTCTCCACCTTCATGGCTACATGAAACATGTCCTCTAGCTCCACGTAATGTTGTATTTTCACTACATTAGCAATTTCCCGATTTAGATCATTTAAGAACCTTGCCATGGTAGCTTCCTGATTCTCTACACATTTGCCCTGATCATGAGTATTTCCATTTCCTTATGATAATCCTCGACGGTCCTCGACCCTTGATATAGGCTCTACAACTTTTAATAGATCTCTCTATAGTAGTGGTTAGGAAAGAACCGCTTCCTCATCAATGCCGTCAAATCCTCCTAAGTACTAATTGGTCTTTCCCCACACCATCGCTGTATAATAACCATTTGATCCCACTAGGTTATTGCATAGTCAATGAACTCTAACACTGTTAACTTCACCTTCTTCTCCTCTGAATAATTATAGCACTCAAAAATTAATTCCAACTTCCTTTCCCACTCCAAGTATGCCTCTGGATCACTCCTACCCTTAAATTGAGGAATGGATATTTTGATATTTTCCATACTCCCATCTGCCTCATCTTCGTGATTATTCCTAACCCGTCATTCAAGCCTACCACCTATATTCCTCATCCATCCCATTCCCACTTCTCCATAATCCTCATCATTCCATTCACTACCCACCTCAAATGTTTCCCGTTCCATCCTATGCTCCCCCCCAGCCTCCTGGCATTAGATACTTCCGCCCGTGGCTCCCTACTGAGATTGGCCACTGATGTATCCATCCTCATCATCCAGGCTTCCTGCTTAGCCCTCTAGGCATCCTATTGATCCAGCCTATCTCTAACAACCCCAAAAGTAAGTTCAAATCGTTGTATTAAATTCTTCGATGCTGTTGTGATAGCCATGTTGGCTCAAGTTGGAACCTTCTTGCTCAGACATTCTCTCAATTTTTGCCTCACCAAATTTCACTCAAAATCACACAATTGGCCTTTACCCTCTAATGAGCTCACTACTCTGCCTTTTACCACTCAATGCTTTCACCAAGTGCTTTCAAGAACAATAACGAACTCACCAGCGTAAAACTTAAGAATTCAACCCGAAACGAGATTCAAAAGAATTATTGGCAAAAGATTAAAGATAAATGGAACGAAATTTGAATGCACTCAATAAAATTTCAATGGAAATTTGACGAAATTGAAGAATTGAAAAGACTTTGGAATTTAGGAATTGATTAAGACTTTGTTGGTAGTAAGTTAAGCATTTAATAAAAAAAAGTTTCTATCTTTGACGTGAACAGTAACTTTTTTGTAATATCCGGATGAACAGTAACATTTTTTTCCTAAACAAAAGACTATACTACCAACGAAAAAAATACGAATTGAAGAATGACTCAAGAACAAGAGAGAAACTTGGAAATCAACAAAAACTATGACACAAACAAAAAAAGTTAAAGATAGAACCTAATTAAATTGGAACCTAAGCTCTGATACCAACTGATGGGAACCCCGTAGCAACTTAGACTATAAACCCCACAAATAGATTGATGTGGAACCCAAGAACACCAATTGATAATCAGTTTGGAATGAACCCAACAAAGTGAATCAAAAAACCCAAAGATAACGGTGATGCAAAGGACCCCTTGCTTACAAATTGAAGAACCCACGATCCGGTGTTGAACGCCACAAGGAATTACCCTTGATAACTTCGATTTATTGTTCAATTTGGAAGAACAAAGAAGAAAGCAATAATCTCTCAATATAATGTTAAAAGTTTTTTTTACAATAGAAAAGACTAGTCCTATTTATACTAAAACCTAAAATATCGTAAAAGGAATAAAATCCCGTGCAAAAATCAAGAAGAACTATAAAAAGATTACAATTCTAATCAAATAAGGAAACTCACAAAAATTTGCAATTCGGTCCTCGACTTTGATCTATACGGTCGCATAGGGTTAACCTATGCTGTCGTATAGTTCATTTAATTTCCCCCTGGAATTCCCTGCCTGTATACATGCGACCGCATGGGGATTATAACTATGCGGTCGCATAGTTCACATTGTTGCTTCCAAATTCCATTGCTCATATCATATTGATCCAAGTCTCTTCGACCTTCGACCCCAACATGACACTCGCTCCATTTTGCGTCCCAAACATTGTTTCATCATTAGTGGCTTTGATGAGCAACCTCATTCCTTCTTTAACTCATTTTGCTCTCGATCACGTCATCAAGCCTTCGTCAACAATCAACGGGTCTCGGCTCGACCTTCCCTTCGTGACTCTCGCATCTTAGACCATATCAAGCAAGGTCCCTACCAATTGAACTTTGCTATTTGTACACTAATTTTTGACACGTTGTTTGACACATGTATTGTTGTCAAGTGTCAATTGGATGGAAAAACTATTTCAAATTTAAACTGCCCAACAAGGTAGTGTCACGTAGCAAAGTAAAAACCAAAGTATGCACCATAGTGTACATGTAGCAAGGTTTTTACAGATTGAAATTTACTATTTGTACACTGATTTTGGACACGTTGTTTGACACTTGCATTGTTGTCAAGTTTCAATTGGATACGAAAACTATTTGAAATTTAAACTATCCAACAGGGTAATGTCACGTGGCAAAGTGTACACCATAGTGTACATGTCGCAAGGTCCTTACCGATTGAACTTTGCTATTTGTACACTGATTTTCGACATGTTGTGTAGAATCCCAAATAATTCTAGACACCTTAGTGGCACTAAGACATAAATATTGGATGACTAAAGTATACTTTAGATTTTTAGTCTCATTTGAGTCCCATTTTCGACATAGGAAACATTCAATTTGGAAAATGATATCTAAATAAAAGTTGTAGCATTTTGAGTTAACTTTCCAACGCAGTTTGAATTACCTAAATCGAAAATCGGGAAAAGAAGTTATGATAAAAACACTGAAAGCTGTACAGTGTCAACGGACAACAACCGATCGACCGAAACTGCCTGAAATGAAAATTCTCATTTTTCTCTAGAATTTAAATATTTATTTTCATCAATTATTTTTTCAAAGGGCCAGCCACATTTTTGGAAATAAAAACCCCACTAAATTGAAGCATTTAACCTAAAACTTAAACGATACCCATGTTTTCTCTCTTAAATGAAATTTGACCCTTCATTTGTTTTAAGTTATGGGATATTTGCCTATAAATAGAGATCTCATTTCACTCATTTTTTCTCACACCAAAAGCAAGAGTTTTTATATACTAAAGAAAGAGTTTCCAAGAGAGAAAAATAGAGTGAGGAAAACTATTTTTCCTAAAAGTTTAAGAAGTGTTTTCAAGCATCAATTCTCAACGGTTTTCAAACATCCATGGAGTGCATTTCTTTTAACGTCCAAGTTTCATCAAAGTTTTCAGTCCAATTTTTCAAAGTTTCAAAAGCATCAATCAAGGTAGGTAGAGGTGCAATGTGTTTAATCGTATTAAGTTATAAGTTTCAATTCATGTTAATGTTTGTATGTCAAATGGTACTCCGGTACAGCATACCTCTCTATGTTGAAGAAATGTTCGTATGTCAAATGGTGCCCT